ACTCCGCGTCACTCAGCTCCCGCACCTGCTCGGATACAGGGAGGGTGTTCAGACTTGCCCTGCGCCCGCCGGGCACGCTGGGGTGGAGGGATGGGGACTGTGCCCAAGGGGCCATGCCGACGCCAGGGACAGGGCTGGGAGCTGGCTCATCCCTCCCTGGTCCCTCGGAGCCAAGCGAAGGCCGCTTATGGCTCTTGGAAGTTGAGCACCAGCTCAGTTGGCCCAATGTGAGGGAGGGGTGACAGCTCCTGACAATGACTCACCAGAAATGGAAACTGGGTCACAAATCGGGCTTGGGGACACAGCTTTTGCCAGGGCAGACCTAGGGCCTAGATAAGACCCTCTACCCCAGCGGTTCTCAACCTGTGGGTCGCGACCCCTTTGGGGGTCGAACGACCCTTTCACATGGATCGCCTAAAACCATCGGAAAACACATGTATAATTACATATTGTTTTTGTGATTAATCACTAGGCTTTAATTATGTTCAATTTGTTACAATGACATTGGGGGTCACCACAACTTGAGGAACTATATTAAAGGGTCGCGGCATTAGGAAGGTTGAGAACCACCGCTCTACCCCATACAGCGAATGAAGGAATTGGCTACCCAACTCATGGATCACGCAGAACCACCTCAAATGGATCCAAGAACTGGCGGTCAACTCCTTCTTGCCTTTCATCAAGGCCATTGTGAAAGCCACCAATCAGAGACCTTACTCAGTGGGGCCACGAGTTCAGGGCTCTCCATCCATGAGACACTGAACCCACTGAGCAACCCTAACACTCAGCCATTCCCTGCCTCCCGAGGGCAGCCTCTCTGTCTCTCTCCAGCTGCAGGCTCCCTGCATAGCTGACTCCGCTTAGGTCTCGGGGTTATCTACCAGTTTACAAGAAATATGTGAGCCTGTGGGTCATGTTAAATGACAGCACAGAGGTGCAGTCAGCAACATCCAGGCTATGAGAAACTCCACCAGAGAAATTATCTGATTTTTCAATAAATAAATGAGGAAAAAAGTGGGAAAGGGAAGTGTAATGGATTGAAAGGGACGTAAGAGCATGTCACAAATGATTCAAACAGATCAGCTGTGAGAAGACGTGAGACAGTCAAGGAAAACCGAAGGATCTTAAGATTATTAAATAATTGTTATAAATTTGTCAGAGGTGATAATGGTACTGTTGTCATCTTTTAGGCAAAACGAAAAAGTTCTTATCTCTGACAGAGACATACTGAAGTACTTACAGGTGAAATAATTATGTGACTGGGATTTGCTCTTAAATAGTCCAGGGGAAAAGGGGATTAAGAAGTGGAATGCTGAGCAAACAAGACTGGCCCTGAGTTAGCAATTGCTGAAGCCTGGTGATGAGTATATGTTCTCTCATTATTGATGTTTCTAGCTCTCCCTCTCCCTTCCTCTCTAAAATCAATAAAAATATATATTTTTAAATGTTCATAATAAAAAGTTAAAATCTTCACAGCAATCTTGAGAGGCAGATATCATCACCCTCATTTAGGAGATGAGGAAATGGAGACTCAGAGAGGGCAAGAGACCTACCTGAGGGCACACAGCATCTAACTGGCAGAACGAGGATTCAAACTTGGGTTTTTGGCCCCCCAGGATAAAATGGAAGAACACCTGTTTCCAGCCAACCCCCGCATCCTGTAAGCACGGTCCTCTCCCAGTGGTGTGGAGTCACCCAGGGAAGCTCCGAGGCAGACTTGAGCCCACCCTTCCCCACACTAGGCCCGGGCTACCCTTCGGGCCCACAGAGCCCGTCGGCCTCCCTGGTCACGCCGGATGTGATTGGACTGACACTCTGGGCCACCGGGAAGCTCTGAGAGTTTATAAATGGAGACGCTCAGGTGGGAAGAGGTGTTGAGCAGTCACTCTGCAGTTGTGTGTAAGGGACGAAGGGCTGCTTTGGGGGGAAATGGGACAAACCAGTAGTCCCAAAGGCCAGCCAGGGAGGGGTGCCCTGAATGGTGGAGGCCGGCCTGCACCTGGGGAGCAGGAAGAATTCCTACTGGGGGACAATATCAGGAAACACGGCCTGACTCCATGACTAATTGGTGAGGGCGAGGGGAGGGGGCAAAGAAGGGAGAAGCCCAAGATTTGGAGTCCAGAGGTAGGAAGAAATCCGATGCTTTTCATAGAAATGGGCAGCTCCTGACCTGGGGGTCCAGGACCACTGGCCTTTGCCGAGGCAGGATGGAGGCTTCTAGAGGGCATCTTCCTGATCCCAGTCTCCACCTCCCCCAAGTCTGGGCTGGGTCGGGCCCCTTTGTGTCAATTAGCACAAGACACCGCTTCCTCAAAACACCTTACTGACATCTGTTGGCAGACGGGCATAATAGGTTTGGTTGGAACAAGATACTTGACTGCCCTCTGCTGGCCAAGGAGGGTGGTGACTACTCCGCCTGCGCGGGTGGCTGTGGATGAGGTGTGCCCGTCTTAGGTGAGGTGTGCCCTACAGTGAACGCCTTCCCAGCTGTGCATGGAGACCCTGGGAGTGTCTCACATCCCCCCTGCTTCCCGGGCTGGCCCTGAGCAGGATGGCACAGCATTAGGACCCAGTCGGACCTCGGGGACAATCGGCTGCCGAGAGCGGTCCTCCCTG